TGTAATTTTGTTGGATCTTTGGGTGGTCTCCATTCATGAAAACATGGACCCTGTAAATTTGGAAGTTCTGCTATTTGACTCTCCTCCTGTTGTGAGCTCCCCTCCTGAAGTAAACTCCCCTCCTGAAGTGAACTCCTCTCCTGAGGCAACTCTTGGTAAGATGTTGAGGGTCTTGGCTAGTGTTTTAAATCAATATTAATAATATTTTTCTTATAACACTTGATGAGAACGTAATTTTAAGAAGCAAAAGTAATATATTACTTCGTCATCBGATGAAGTTCTAATTTGCATTTCTTGATTAGGATCCATTAATAATTTACATGTATTTATATGCTCGTTTATTTGAGATCTAGGAACCTGGTGATTGGGATTATTCGGACACTGAATAAGTTCTTCGTCACTCATCTGTATTTATAGGAAAAATTAATTAATACTAGAAATGCAATGAAAAATTAATAAAACTAAAAAAACAGAAAATATTGTAGATAATTTCAAAAAATTACCTTTTTTATATGTTGTATAAAACTATAAGATATATATAGATGTATATATTTGTTTATTACACACTCTTTTTTTTAAGCCTTAAAAAGACCAATTAACATTGTATAACGAATAAATATATATATATATAATATGTATTTGATTCAATACATGCATATATATACATATATATATATATTCAATTTATATATACATAAATATATCTATATGTATAAATGTATATTTATATATACATTTATTTAATAAACTTTTCATAGATCTATATATCATATGAAATAAACCTTAAATGGTAAAATTTATTTAAATATTATTATTTAAAAACACTTTGCAGAATAATATTAATTACAATTACTTTTTGTCACAGCATTAACGGGAGTTTTATGAAAGATAACTCTCTCAAATTTATTCCGCGTTTTTTTTTTTTGTTAACGTATTATTTAAAAGAGTACGAAAAATGAGGAAAACAAACAAATATTAAAAAACTCTATGTATATGATCAGATATCGTAAGATGAAACACGTATTTTAAAATGCTTTTTTGTTAATTGAATTTGAATAAAATATAATTAGCACATTGTAAGTAATGCTTGTCTGTCAAATAAGCCCACCAACTGACAAGATTGAACAAAGATTGATCGTTCTGTTGAGATTAAATTGAAAGTAATATGAAATTCGAAAAAAAAAAAATTTTTAAATTTCTCGACTCTCAAGTATCGAATCTCGAACTACGATTTATTTACAAACATCATTTACAGCAATTATGCGGACTTATTATAAGTTATAACATATTAATTCGTTAATAATTAATTATGCCATGTTTATATGATTTATTCGATAATAATTGTTCTGAAAAAAACAAAACACATATTTTCGTTGATAAATTACTTGAGAAAAGTATAAATGATTTTTTTTTTTAATTTATATCTTGAGTCTTGAGTTTAGTATCCATTATTTGAAATACATCGAAATTCGTAATTAAAAGCATTATTTGTGACATTGTTAACGATAATAATAAACATTTGTTTTTATTATTAAATTAAAGTATAGGAAAAAAAATATAAATATTATTATGATATTTAAAGTTTCGTTTAGTTTATAGTCAACATAAATAAATTCATATAATTAACAGCTTTGTCCAATTAAATTATTATAATACATATATTAAATATATTTAATTATTATATATAGTAAATTTTTATATTTAATTTAAAATTTTACATCATAAACATAAGGTGTTTAAAAAGGATAAAGTAACACAAGAAAGAAAATATTTAAAATATCCAAATTAAAATGTTATATAGAATAGTTTATTTAGTTCACACATGTTATAATTGTATTTTTTACAATAAAGATTTTTTATAAGAATATAAAAGCAAGACCAACAAGAAATATTAAAAATCAAAGAATTAAAAAGTGTTGGTCAAATTTTGTTAATAATAGCATAAAAGATTTTTTCATTGCTTTAAATATGAAATATAACAAATGCAATATTATATTTAATACAGGATAGTTGTTAATCATTGATATCATATTATATTTTTTAATTATGATGTATCATATTTATCCATATTAAATTTATCTATATCTAATATACTTTTTTTATTCGCTAAGTTTTATATAATTTATATTGTATTTATATATAAATATGTATATATATATATAAGCTAATATATATATATATATATCTCTTTTAAAGTTGTTTCTATAATTTGTTCTTTTTAATAAAAGACAGTTTTTATATTCGAAGATGATCGTACATTAATTATTCGATAGAAATATATTATTATTTATTAATATAATTTAATATAATTAATATATTTAATAATATATAACAGATATTATAATAAAATTATAATTTATAATGTAATCGTTATAAAAGTATAAATTTTATCTATATAATTAATGACAATATTAAATACATTTATATAAGGAATAATTTATATAAAAATATATACAATATATAATACAAATTACATAAAACATTAACGATTTAAGTGTATAAATAACATAGAAGACATTTAAGTCTCCTAGACAATAATACTATTTATATTATATCTTTTTTTTATTTTTATTTTTTTTTTCATCTTAAATTTCATCTGATGATGAAGAAGAATCACGAACTTTTCTCTTTTTTTTTTGTGAACTATCTTCTTCTTGTGAACTATGTTCTTGATATGAGCAACCTGGATCGTCTGAACTATCTACTTTGGACTCCGTTGCTTCATATGACCTTTTCCTTAACCTACTTGCTGCACTTTGTTGAACATCTAATTCATGTTTTGTCTTACCACAAGAAACAACTGGTTTGGATTGTTCTTCTGGAACAGACGAGGAAGGTTCTCCCAATCCAATTTTTTTACTTTTATTTTCATCTGTTGTTAAAGAAGAATCAGAACGTTTTCTTCTTTTTATAACTTCCCTTTGTGAGCTATCTGCTTCTTCTGAACTATCTGCTTGTTGTGAGCTACCTGCTTCTTGTAAACTACCTATTTCAATATCCGTTCTTGCATATGACCTTTTCCCTAATTTACTTGCCTTTTGTGGAAAATCTAATTCATGTTTTGTCTCAGTAGGAGAACTAACTGTTTGTAATTGTTGTTGTGGAACATCTCTAGACACAGAAGGTTCTTCCGTTTCAACCTCTGGTAATGTTGTCTCTTCTGCAAAAATATGTGACTCTTCAGTCTCCACTGTTTCTTCTATAGTAATTTCTGCATATTTCTCTTTCCTAGAACAAATTTGCCGTTGTGAATCATCCAAATCTTGTCTTGTCTCAGTAGAAGAACTAGCTTGTTGGGATTGTTCTTTTGATACATCTACAGACAAAGAAGGTTCTTCCGTTTCAACTTCTAATGGAGTAGGTTCTTCTGACGAAAGATGTGACCTTTCAGTCTCCTTTTTTTCCTTTATATTCATTCTTGAATATCTCTGTTTAAAAGACTTACTTCGCTGTCGTGGTCTAACCGAATCGGTCTCCATTAGTTCTTCCTTTTTCTTTCTCCTAGACCTACTTTGACGAACTGAACCAACTGATTCTTGTGTTTTCCCAGCAGGAGAACTAACTGGTTTTGATTGTTCTTTTGGAACAGACGAAGAAGGTCCTGCCACTCCAATGTCTGATTGAGTAGTCACTTCTGATAAAGTATGTGACGTTTCAGCCTCTATTTTTTCTTCTGTATCCATTTCTTCATGTTTCTTTTTACTTATCATTTTTGGCTGTTGTGAACGTTCCGAATCTTGTTCTGTCTCAGTAGGAGAACTTACTGATTGTAATTGTTGTTGTGAAACATCTGCAACAAGAGAAGGTTCTTCCATTTCAACTTCTAATTGAGTAGTCACTTCTGATAAAGTATGTGACTCTTCACTCTCTATTTTTTCTTCAGTATCCATTTCTTCATGTTTCTTTTCTGTTGTCTTCTTAAGATGTTGTGAACGATCCGAATCTTTTTTTGTCTCAGTAGGAGAACTTACTGATTGTAATTGTTGTTGTGAAACATCTGCAACAAGAGAAGGATCTTCCAATTCGACTTCTAATCGAGTAATCACTTCTGATGAAGTAGGTGACTCTTCAGTCTCTATTTTTTCTTTTGTATCAATTTTTTCAGGTATCTTTTCCTCTGTCATTTTTGACTGTTGTGAACGATCAGAATCTTGTTGTGCCTCAGTAGGAGAACTAACTGATTGAAATTGTTGTTGTGGAACATCTGCAGCAAGAGAAGGTTCTTCCATTTCAACTTCTAATTGAGTAACTACTTCTGCTAAAGTATGTGACGCTTCTGCCACTATGTTTTCTTCTGTATCCATTTCTTCACGTTTCTTTTTACTTATCATTTTTGGCTGTTGTGAAACATCTGAATCAGATGTTGAAGCAGCATAAAAACTAAATGGTTGTGATTGTTGTAGAGGAACCTCTTCAGACGAAGAAGATTGTTCCAATTCAACTTCTAATGGAGTAGTCACTTCTGCCAAAAGATGTGACACTTTAACCTCCACTATTTCTTCTGTATCCATTTTTTCATGTTCCATTTTCCTTTTTCTACTTAACCGTTGTAAATCGATCGAATCATCTGATGTTTCAGCATAAGAACTAACTGATTCTGATTGTTCTTGTGGAACATCTTCAGGTAAAGAAGGTCCTTCCAAATTCGATGGATCAGACGGTTCTGGCGAAAAAGGTGACGATAGATCCACCGAACTTTCATCATCCATTTTTTCATCTTTCTTTTCCAACGTCAGTTTTGGCGGTTGTAAAATAGCTGCTTGTTGTGAACTTGCTGCTTGTTGTGAACTAGCTGCTTGTTGTGAAGTAGAAGGAGTTTGTCCCTTAAATTCTAAACCCATTTCATATAGAATAATTTTCTTACTATCTGACATAGTATCTTCAAGTGATAATGCCGAATCAGTGCTTGATGAAGAAGTTTCATCAGACTTACTGTCTATTCTGAGTTTCTTAAGATCCTATCATATCAAATGAAATGATTTTTATTAAAAAAAAAAAAAGAAAAAAAAGAAAAATTTCAAATCATTCAAATTAAAAATTATTAAATTTACCTTTCTTTTTCTACTTAATATTTTAAGATATGTTTCTTTACGCATTTCTAGCAGCCCCTTTTTCGACTGTTTCTCCGAAAACAAATCTGATTTACTCGAGGCTGTAACTGATTTAGCTGAGGTTTCTCTACTTTTAAGCGGCTTTGGGTAAGGTTTTAGCTGGTATTAAATCAATTTCAATTAATATATGTCTTATTTTATTTAAACAATTATTTTCATACCCTTTTTAATTTAGAAGGTGATGTTTCCTGTATTTCTGTTTTTTTTGCTGGTCTCCATTCTTGAAAAGATGTACTTTCAGAAATTGGAAGAGTAGCCATTTGACTTCCCCCCTGATGAGAACTCCCCTCCTGAAGTGACCCCTGGTAAGATGTTGAGGGTCTTGGCTATTGTTTTAATTTAATATCAATTAATATTTGTCATATATTACTTAATTAGGCACAAATGTAATATATTACTTCGTCATCGGATGGAGTTGTAATTTGCATTTCTTGATTAGGATCCATCAATAATTGACATGTATTTACATGCTCGTTTATTTGAGATCTAGGAACCAGGTGATTGGGATTATTTGGACACTGAACAAGTTCTTCGTCGCTCATCTGTATTTATAGAAAAAATTAATTAATATTAAAAATACAATAAAAAATTAATAAAATTACAAAAAAGAAAATATCGTAGATAATATTAAATAATTACCTTTCCTAAAAATTGTATAAAATTATAAGATATATATATATGTATATAGTTGTTTATTACACACTCTGTTTTTTAGTCTTTAAAAAGACCAATAAACATTATATAATAAATAAATATATATATATAATATGTATTTGATTCAATACATGCATATATATATATATATATTCAATTTATATATACATAAATATATCTATATGTATATATAT